ATTTGCTGGCAAAAGAGAACATTTCCACTTTCTGTCTAAAAGCATTCATACAAATAAAGAAAGAACTCCCCTCTTACCATCTAGAAAATATTTTTTATGACCAGACTCACTATATTTAATGACATGATTAAAATGTGAGTGAAGAGCAACAAAAATTAAACAAGGACTCCTAAAACAGAATATTTTGAAAGGGCCCAGAAGATTTGTGCATCACTTTTTCTTCCCTTTAAAAATATTATGTTAAAATTCACATTTATCATCCCAGTAAAAAAGAAGTAATGCTTTGGTTAGGTTTCTTTAATAAAAGACCATGCTCTCTGGAAATATTTCCCTTCGGAAATCACATAGACAAATAGTGTTAATAATGAGTAAGTTTGAGAACCCTGCCACGGAGGACTACATGACAATATTTTAGAATCAGTTTTCTAATTGTATGGTGTTTTTGTAGACTTGAAATGTATTTCACCTTCATTCTGAAGGAATTTACATTGCTTCAAAGCAAGGGGAGGGAGCAGGTAGACATTTTCTCCCCTTCCGAGTTGTCTTCAGCTACAAATTGCTGCGGCATCGGTGAACATAAAACAGGGGGCTCAGAGCTTCATTTTTGAAAGTAGGCTGGAAAAATGTATTATAAAAGTTACATAAGACTCCATTAAAAGGTTAGAACATTTGATATTGTAGAATTAACTGGGGGGAAGGTCTGTCCACGTCCGACAAATCCCGTGATCTGTGATCTGTAGAAGGAAAGCAGCGGGCAGGGAGACGGGGTGGTGGTGCCCTCCCCGAGCAGGTGAGCCAGCACAGCTGCTGGGGCCAGGGAGCACAGGAGGAAAAGGGAACCTGGCCCTTTGCAAATTAATTTTATAATTGTATTTAGGCTTCCAACAAGGCGATGCAATTTTGAAGGGATCCGCCGGATTCCCTCAGTCTCGACAGAAGTATATGGGATTGTTTGGTATTTGATTTATTCTAATGCAGGAGAGCGGGAAAAGCAATGAGGATCCCTTCCCTTCCTTGGCCAGAAAGTTTCCTTTTTAACTCCTACCAACTTCTTCTTCAAATTGCACCTGAGAGATGCAAAGGTCTCAGGAAGCAGCTGGTCTATAGAATGCTATACCTGATTCAAAAGTCTCTATTACCCCTACGCTTGGGTTTAGCGAAATCATTGATACTTAAAGAATATTAAGCTATCACAGGCAGTGGTTAAAAATGCAGGTGTTCCCTGTGAGTCTTGGGCTAGAAGTACACACAGTTAAAAAGTGACGACTACCACCGGTCAGAAGAAATCTTCCAAACCTGTGAAGTTCAGAGCATACAGTTTCCATCCCCGCAATTTGCCTGCGACTATCAGGGCAACCTGACGGGTGAGGATTTGTTACCACATAACCTCAAGCCAAATAAAATATTCTCTCATGCTTCATTATCTAGGGACTGTATTAAAAAAAAAAAAAAAAAAATAAAACTTTTTAAAAATTTCAGAGCCCCATCAAACACAAAACAAAAAACACAAAACCCCACCACGTTGGCCATTAGTTA